TCAAACCTTGGCTGCTGTTTTTCACCTTAAAACCTTGGATTTGCTCTAAATTTTAGAAAGATGACTTTGATGCACCTGGCGTGCCACTTCTAGTACCCTTAAACTGGCTCCACACACAGCAAACAAATGCCTAGGACCCCCATCCTGCTGCCCACACATATACCACAAGCACCTGAAATGACCAGCATTTATACTCCTGCAAAGGCAAGGAAGGATATCAGATAGAATTTGGAATCTAGAGGCCTGGATTTGAGTAAAAACACTGGCCTCTACTGAGTAACTTGCTTCAGGAAGCATAGCTCAAGCTAGATATGCTTGTTTCAAGCACAGGCCTTCCTGTGTGTAAAGCCTTTGCAAAGACAACTCTTTCTAAAGATAACTTTTTAACCCTAAGTACATCTGTGAAGGGTAATTTTCTATTTAAAGGTTTATTACAACACATTCTCTGATAAAAAGATTGAGAAAATCAATTGGAAGACATTTTTTTCTCTTGAAACTCTGATTTGGGATGTATTACAAGGCTTGACCAAATTTCAGTATCCTATGCCAGAATGAGTTAGGGTTCTAAAGCAGCCAAAAGTGGTTTGAAGAGTGGAAATGAGAATGATCGGGCACAGATAATTGCATTTGTGAAATTGAGTGGGCACGATTTGAATGCTAATAAGATTAGCAGGCTTGGGTTATCCCAGAAGTAGCGGATAAGTATTCCTTATTGGATGGTGTCATTCAGTTATAATAATTCTGTTTTCCAAAAGTCTTTCCCTAATGAACAAAAGAGAGGCTGTGTCTAGAACATAGTAACTAACTGTCTCTAAATACCTTAAGAGATCATTACAGATTTTATAAAACCGTATTTATTTCAGTTTAAGTAAACTAGGAAAACAAATATACAGCCCATAACACTTTAAATGAAGAAGGCGTGGGCTCAGAAATCAAACCAATAGTAAGCTATTCTGAGACCAGGAGGGAAATCCCTGGTCTAGAAACTGGTACAGGAGTCAGTATTCTTTCCCATGGTTGGCAACAGGGCATACTGTGATTTGTTTAGTGGCAAAGTGGTCAGAGCTATGGAGAGTCAGGTGCAAGCAAGTGCATGGATATATAAGGATAACACTCTGCCAGTGCACCAGTTTTCAAGTTAATCTCTTCTCACTCTTTCCCTTTACATCCCAAATCTTCTAGGTTTCTGGATAGCCGAGAGCCTGAGGCCCAGCTCACCTTTCCTCTGGGTTGTCTCATATTTCTTGGGCAACCAGGCTCCAAGTGAGACAAAATATTTACCACATATAGTATTGTGCCTGGAACAAGAGAAGATATTCAATAAGTGTGGTCAGTATTTGAGAAGCAAATGCTGACTGACCTTTTTACTCTTCACCTTGATTCGCTTGCAGCAATCTCAACAAGGGATTGGTATGTCTCTCTAGAAAGCTCCCAATCCCTAAGTTGAAGAGTGTAGTGACACAGTTCACTATAAGCCTGTAGTAATAGAAGGGAGACCACCTATTGACTTGCAATCATGGATAAAGACTGATATGGCAGGGGGAAGATAGCTAACTCAAACACAAAAGAATTTCTAAATCACAGAAATCTCATGAGATTTTGCGTGTGAGACCAGTTTTCTGGATGCCAGTGCTGTGGGAAGGAAGGAAGAAATTTAATTTGTAAGTTAGTTGGTTATTCTTAGTCCCAAATCTCATTGGATACAAATATGACTCTTTATAAATAATCCTATTATGTGGAAGAAATGTATTATTTTGTGAAAAGAAAAATGAACCACAATAAAAATAGAAACCAAAGAGCTGATTATCTATTATTTTTTGCCTTACCAAAGGCAAGAGGGAGAAAAAGAGGGTTCTTTCAAAATGTAACCTCCCCTGATTCTTTTGAAATATGGTTTTCTAAATGTTTAGTTTATAAAAAAAACAAAACAAAACAAAACTATTGGAGGCTCATCTATCGGGTAAACTATGTGTATTAGTTATCCATTGCTGCATAACACATTACCCCCAAATTTAGCAGCTTAACAAAATAGACATTTATTGTTTCACAGTTTCTGTGGGTCAAGGATCTGGGAGTATTTTGCTGGTTCTCTCATGAGGTTGCATTCAAGCTATTGGCCAGGGCTGCTCTCTCTGAAGCCTGACTGGGTCTGATGGCTCCACTTCCAAACTTATCCTTTTGGCTGTTGATAGGAGATGTCAGTCCTTCACTACATGGGTCTCTCTAGAGGGTTGCTGACAACATGGCTTCCCTCAGAGTGAGTGATCCAAGAAAGAGAGAAGGCTCAAAAGAACAACCAAGATGTAAGCCACGGTCCTTTTATAACCTAATTTTGGAAGATACATACTTTTACTTCTACCTTATGCTACTGGTCACCAGATCAATGTGGGAGGGGACTACCCCCAGATGCGAGTATCAGGAGGTGATGATCTTTGGGACCAAACTGATGGCTGGTTACTACACTATTCCAGTTGTCCTACATACATATGTTCTTTATTTCCATTTGTACTCAATTGTTCTTCCAACTCCCATCCCCAGGCAACCACTAAATCTACGTTTTGTTTCTACAAATTTGTCTTTTCTAGAAAATTCTTATAAATGGAATCATACAATATGTAATCTTTTGCATCTGGTCCTTTCATATAGCAAAAGGTGTTTGAGGTACAGCCTTGTTGCAGCATGTATCAGCAGGTTGTTCTTTTAGTTTCTGAATAATACTCCTTGGTATGGACAGACCACATTTTGTTTCTCTCTTTACCAGTTGATGGGCATTGGAATTGCTTCCCCACTTGGGAGCTGTTATGAATAATGCTGCTATGAACATTTGTGTCAAATCTTTGTGAACATACACTTTCATTTCTCTTAGGTATATACCTAGTAGTGGAATTGCTGGGTCATATAGGTTAAACTCTATAATTAATTTTTCAACAAACTGCCAAACTCCTTTCCAGAATGGCTACACCATTGTGTGTTCCCATCAGCAATGCATGCAGGTTTACCTTTCTCCACATCCTTGCCAACTTCTGTTATTGTCTGTCTTTCTAATTCTATCAACAAGCAATGATAGGCAGTGAGCAAAGTATAAAATGGGGAGCCTCTTCCTGTCAGGGAGACCCTACTTCCAGAAGACCTTATGTCTGACAATAAAGTTTTGAGTCAGTGGCCACTGAAACAATTGTTTTCTGGACCAAATTCTTCCTGATTGTACCAAGAAGCAATCCCTACTTAACTGCATACATGGACTGTGTGTTGTTCTTTTTCATTATTAAGACAATCCAAAGCAAAGGTCTAAAAAATGCACCCTCTCATCCCAAATATTTCATTTTATTGCAAAAATGCCACTCACTTTGTAGCTAGTGATTAGACCTCAGAAATAGACAATGTATTCCAGAAAATGGTTAAAGATATTTTTATATTAATCTAACATTTTACATGTGAAAAAGTATTCTACAGGCAAGAAAAGTCATGTGTATTTTATTTAGGAAAAATTCTGTATCATTTTCCTCTGTAGTTAATTTAAAGAATCTCTAAGGCTTTGTACAAATGTAAATATAAAAATAATAAAATATAATGTGCATTGTAATTTTTAGAAGCTATACTTTTTTACTAAGAAGAGTGGTTACTCAGTAAAAATTTTCTGAATGAATCTGCCCTAAGAATAAATTTCTTTTTTAGGGGACTAAAATGATACAAAATAATCTTAGTGTTGTAATAAAATTTTGTCAATTTTATTAAAAGCAGATTCCATTTCTTCACATAGTTAATAAGTTTTGTTTTTAAAAAAAGCCCATTTTACTGTACTATTTCATAACAGTAAGTTTGTTCAGTGAGACTGTCACTGATAAATATATGTACAAAGTTAGCACCACACATCTATAAATGCAGATAGCCACAATGACCTTTCCAATATGTACAATCTCCCTTTACACACACACATATATATTTACAGCTAATAAATAACATTTAAAGCCAAAGCATTGTTGATATATATAGTGTAGTCTGTAGAAGCCAGAGTTCCCAGGGTCATACACTGATTTGATTCATATTTTCATAAGTTTATGAACCCTTGCTCAAAACCCAAATCCAGAAAATTAACAAATTAGCAATAAAGGGAGATACCAACGACAAATCACACGACATTTTATTTTTAGAGAAAATTCATTCCAAGCTGGCTGATCTGTCCTACTTTGTGTAGGCACAACAATGTTTCTCAGATGAAGGGCTGAAGTTCTGGCACCTCTGGAACAATTTCTACTCCAACGTGTTCCAATACATCTCTTGATCATTTACCTTCCAAGCCATGCTGAATAATAAACATACACATTCGGCTTCATATGTGAGTATGTGTTCAGATACCCACACACGTTCACATGATCGATTCCCAGCAATAGCCTCTGAGATATTTGACTTCTTTATTAATATATAGAATATTAATATACAGAAAAGCAGTCTGAAAATATGAGATCTAGTTTATAAATAATTGTTGACTCACTCAACTAGTTGTTAAAAATAATAACAACGTTCATGACATTTCATGTGGCTATGACAATTGAGGATTCTTTTAATTGCCCACAATGGTTTTAAGCACTGTTTATGAATACATCCCAGTAACTTTTCCATCTCTTTACTTAGTAAAAACGGTCCTTGTCTAAAATATGTAGGAGTTTGCCTGATGCAAAATTTGACATTGAACGTATATTTTCTTATCAAAAGCAGGGAAGAAAGAGACATGCTTAAGTATGACTAATGAATGACTAAGATAAGCCTGAAATTGAATAGTAATTATCAGATATTAAATGACTTCAAATCGATGAATATAATTTTGAAAATCTGATAATAAAATTATGGTATCATTTTCTTTCTCCATAGTTAAAATTATCTGTAAGCTGAAGATAACAGGCCCATTTTAAACACCCACCCAGAGAGCAAGGGTTAAATACAATCTTGAGATAAGGCAGGAAAAGGAGGGGAGAGAGGAAGCAATAAACTGTAAAGCCTAGTAAGACTCAATTGATCTAAATTATATATCTCCTTTAGTTTGTAACTTAGTTATAATGCAACCAACCACAGGGAGTGTTTAAGGTCCAGTGCTTTATCAGCTCCCTTCTCTTCTCTCTCCAAGTCACCAGGCTCTAGTCAACTCCTGGGCTCCTTCCCAATGGCAAGAGGAGAACCATTCCAAAATAATAAGTGTTTTGACTGGTAAGTAAATGGGTCCGACTCACACTACAAAAATCATTTTCTATATTCAGACTTGGAGAAAACTTTGAGAAGGTATCAGTACAGAAAATGCAGAATTCCAATTAAAATATGAGGTTCTAATCAATTTTAGGCTATGGCTAAACTCACTACATAGAGAAGCTTTATTATTTTACCGTGGGCCCAAACAATTCTTATTTCTTTCTCAAAGGACAAAATGCAGTGCTTTCATATCTGCTGTCTTTTAATGTTGGAAGATGTGCTATTTGACCACTATACTCCTCATTGAATTAGCCACTTTTTAGTATTTGAGACTGTCTCCTAAAATAACTAACAAGGATATAGCTGGGATTAATACTCAGGAAAATCCACTTTTAACCACCCAAAGCACTGGGCATCTTTTGTAAAAGTCACTTCATTCTTTACAGAATTCATGTACTGTTTTTCCTTCTGTAGACTTGCAGTTTCTGAGGAAAAGCAGAGGAAGAGGGCGATTTATTACCTATTTAGCGTTTTACAACCCTCTCCCCTCCCCCACCACCTTCATCATGAAAAAGTATTCAACTGGAAGTTTAGAACAAACATTGTGAGGATAAACCCAGGGGAGACCCAGATTGGAGTAAGTGTCAGGCTCCTAGGAATGGAAGACACTCTAATCTCTACTTAGCCATGTCTCAATAAGGAGTATTATTTTCAGAGGACTGACCCAAATGATTTCAAAATTTAGGAAGATTTCTTACTTCTAAAATTTGTCAAATGAAGTTTCTGTTTCTTTTTCTTTCCTTGTGCTATGAGACTTCTAAAGAGTTATACCAGAAGATAAGAGAAAGAGAACCTTTAATCTGATCGATGAATTTAGTTACAGAGGAGAGACACTTGCAGCAGTTACTGGTTTGATTCATAATTACTTCCTAGATAAAGTTCAGATGTATAAAAAATGCTGCCTAAACATCTGTTGTCTCAGTAATCCTATAATCAGATGAGGAATGTATCATTGGATTTTTCAGGTAAAGTCTTGCAACTTATATAAATAATGTGACCAGAAACACTTGATAAACAGCTGGAGTTATTTCCTAGTTTTTCAGATTTTGTTTTTACCTTCACAAATAGATTTAAAATTGTGGATGATTTTTGGATAATGTATGTGTACGTGTTTGTTTGATTATGTTTGCGATGTAATAAACACATATAAACTTCATATAGGAGTCCCTTTCTAAGAGGTAAAGCAAATGTACAATTGCCTCAGATTTGCGATGAGAAAAAAACAAAGCAATGAACCTCTTAGTAGAATAGTCTCCACTAAGGTAAGAATTCAGTTATTGTGCCTGGCTACATACCAGTAGCTGTTTCCCATTTCAAGTTTATCTTGAGTGTTCTTACATAAATGTTTTTAATCCAGATGGCTTCATCTTGTCACTCAAAGTATATGTGGCACAATTCCATTTTTGTAAAAAATGAAAAAAGTATGAATATTGTATAGGCATTGAGAAAGTCTGAAAGGATATATATTAAAATATTAATTGGGGGCTGTCCCTGGAGGATAGAGTCACAGTGATTTTATTTTCTTTTTACCTATTTTTCCTAATCCACTATCCATAATTATCCATGGATAAATTACATTATAAAATAGAAATTAAAAATAATATAGCTATTCCACATAGGGTCTTTAACATGCTTTTTCTGATTAAGCAATTCTTATTCTGTACTTTTGTCTGTAAATGCAACTGGGAAAAGAGAAATCAAAAGCAATTGCTTTTTCTATTTCCAGATGACCTTGTGACCAGCCTTTCCTATTGTTTCTTGTGATACTGGCTTATATGACATGATCTAAGCTTTCCTCCCTTTATACCTGTAACCCATTAGCACTTGGCTTCTCGCAAGGGAATGATTAGAGAAACGAAAATGGCATATTGTGGAAATTCAGGAGGGGTTGGGAAGGGTTACATGCTTAGTCTTCACTTAGTCCTGACACTCTGGAAAGATTCAGCTGCCAGCTTCCATGTGGACTAGCCTTAAAGGTCAAATCAGAAAGAGCCAGGGAGTTGTTCTCAGATGGAAATGAGAACCACCTCCTACACTCTAACTCCATTAACTCCCCATCTTTGGGAGTTTTGAGATGGATGCTTGGTGGCTGCCCCTTTGGCTCTCTGTCCTGGAGTCTGCTGGCACTTGGAGAGTCAAGGACAGTGTAGCTGCAGCTGATGTTTCGCTCCCCTGGATACACCCTGGGAGGGGCTGCACACACAGCCACAGTGATGACTACAAACTTGTGCTGCACACTCTGCACACAGGGTCTGTAAAGGCAGCAGTGAGGCAGTACAGGAAAAAAGCACAAATGAGGATTTTGTGGTAGGTGCAGAAGAAAAAATCTAAAAAGTGCACATGGGATGCAGGTCAGAGCTAGCAGAAAGAACAGAAAGAAAAGGTAAGAAGAGGAAGTACTGGCAGAAGCAAACGCGCCAGCCTGATGCGCATGCGGAAGGGCTAAGAAAGACTAGGTAGGGTTCTGATCACACAACTCAGCACAGGCCTTTAGTTATGGGTGAAGAGCAAGCATGAAGAGTGTCCCTCTGCCTGCAAGCTCAGGGCCTCAGAGAGCCTCGCCCATGATGCTCACCAGCCAGACTTTCTGTTCAGAGACTTGTCATGGCACTTCACAAACACCACAGCTGCCTTTCCTTTCTGCAGATGAGACACTTTCTCCCTGGAACAGAAGATCACCCTGCGGAAGAAAATGGTTGTGAGCACACCATACAGAACAATAAAAATGGCTGTTCGGAAATGTATGGTTTGGTCAGGGTTGTTTAAATCCAACATGATTGTTCTGATTAACTGTTTTGATATTTCCAACAATTAACTGTTTACATTCAGGCCATTCTAGCAACACATCTGAATAAGAGGCTTATTTGAGGCCCTAACCCAGAGTTCAGCAATAAGGCTAGTTAATCAATCTAGACAGGCATACAGACAACCTGGATCAGCCTTAAGATCAGAAGGCTTTCACCAAGAGGGCTGACACAAGACTAACTTCACCACTTCTTGGTATCTGTATTAGGGAACTCGCAAATCAGCCTTCAACGGGCCCTGCTAGAGAAACAAATGCTCTGCATGGCCTCTCCATCCACAACCTCTTGTTTTTGGTTGTAAAAGAAAATGACCAAAGAGAAATAATTTATCAATTCTTATTTAAAGAGTCATTTTTATTAACAATAATGGCACACTATAGTTGCAAAATCTCTGTACATTAGTATAAAATTTAGTTTTAAATCCTATGGGGCTGTCTATGCAATTCATTTTATAGATATACGAGGGTGTGGGGTTGGGGAAAGAGGATGAGATTATCTTGGAATCTCATCCTTCTTGAACAGGTTGGTTTTAATCTTTGGATGTCAAAGTAACACCTCCACAACTCTTTCCATAACTGTTTTGTGCTTGCAAGAAACAGTGCTAAATGAGAAGCTGAGATTCTTGACTTCCAATCTCAGCTCTCACTCAATAACTGTGAACAATTCAGGGTTTATGTTTTCTTTCCATGAAATGCATTAATATTATTATTTCCCTAGTATGATAATAAAAGAACACTCTCCCCCAAAATTATAGGTGTAATTATCTAAGTGATATAGTTTTAAAGACAAAGCTTACTAAAGTTTCACTTGCATGTTGAAGGCGCTAGAAACACTATCTCTAGATAGTGACATTAGAGCGAGTTTAAAGTGAATGGAGAGGCGAACTCAAGATGGCGTAAGCAGACTCTGGACTCACCTCCTCCCGTGGACACAGCCAATTTACAACTACTTGTGGAAAAATTACTCCTGAGACAGAACTGAAAACTGGATAAGAGGAACTCCTGCAACAACGGACAATCCTAACTGAGGGGGAAGAGGCAGACACTCCCTTCTGGAGAGGAAAAACGCCGCCTTCACAAGCCGCCAGCTTCACGGCCGCCGGGAGCAGCTCACAGGTACGCAGCCTCCCTGGAGGCGCGGGGCCCTGAGCCAGGGAGCGCCCCCGCTGTGGGCATTTTGTGGACCCAGCACAATCGAGACCAGCGGCATAATATCTGACTTTGCCTGCTACTAAA